TTTACATTATAATTTTATTTTTTCCCTACCGTCCAATTCGCTATATAGATCCAATTGAGAAGAACTGGCAAGAAACTCAATTGAATTACTTTATTTTTTAAAGCCAGTTTATTTACAATGTATATTTATATAGGTGTCTATGTCTAACATTAAATGAAAATTCAGTGCATGAACAACTATTGCCATGCACGCTCGTCATTCAAGTAATCGTTTAGCGAGTAATAGGCCTTGCTCAGTAAATATGATTTAACAGATGTTTTGAATTTATTTAAGGTAATTCCAACATATCCTTTGGTATTTTATCATTACAAACAGCCACTCCAATTTTATTTATACGTATAGATATACCCAACAAAATTGTGGATATTTCAAGTGTTGGGACCAGGATGATCACAGTTGAATACACCTCTGTCTACCCATTTTAGTTATTAGTCGTGAATGTTACAGTACTTTAATATCTATGAAAGATATAGCTTTCATAGATATTAAAGTACTGTAGCCGGAGTGGACAGTAAATAAACAAACACACAGCTCGTGTTTATCAAATATTCACTCCAACATTAGTAAACTGGTAGTACTCACCTTTGCTCCTAAACTGTTTACGGTACTAATATTATCCAGACATAAGGCTGCTGTCGCAATGAGAGAGTTGCTTACGGTACTAATATTAGTCACACATAAGGCTGCTGTCGCAATGAGAGAGTTGCTTACGGTACTAATATTAGTTACGTCCAAGTTTGGTGACAAGATCAGTGTGCATTTTTATTTCCCAGTGACTATTATTGGATATCAAAGTTATAATCGAAACTGGAATATATGTCGCAAAATGTTTGCTTTGATATCGATGTGTAGGTCCTGATAAAATCGTCATTGATAATCGACATATGCAGTATATGATATATAAAAAAACAGATAGACTAAATAAATTACATTGCTAATTCCGCTACTGAAAACATTTTTTGATGTTGATATATATCTTATCATGTATCAATACTTATAGATCCAAGTCGATATCATTGTTTTTATTATCTGTAAGTTTATTATCTTTACCATTTTATCATTATATGCATTAAAATTATAAATAACAAATATTTGATTAATTTTTCTTTGTAATGCATGACTAAAGAAATTATCTACACTATTTGGTTGTTTGGGCTATTGTCAGGTATTTATAGCACCTGTAGCACTGCGACCTACATAGATCTATTGTGCACGCCCTTTTTCAGAGTTCGCTACCTAGACCCGTCAGGGACAAGAATTGAAGGATATTCTTAGGAGCAATGGTTTTTATTATCTCCTCGGGAAAGAGTGTAAACTTACCAAAGAAGATATTTCGTTTAAGCATGAGTGGACTACAACTACATTGAATCTGTAGTGGCGTTTCCTCTTCAGTTTGAGGGAATCTGCAGATTTTTATCGTGGATAGGCCTAATGCCATATGTTTGTTTAATTTGCAGTGTCCTGTGAGGGTCCTAGTCATCATGCATATGTTGTTTTTACTTATTAGCAGTAATTTATTGGAGTATTTGTTCGAGTAGCCCGATATTAGGGTTTTTGTATGTATCAATCCTGGCATTTCTTGCCAGTGATTCAGTGCTTCTCGTTTAGTTATTAATTTGAGATGTCCCAGTTTTAGGCAACGAGGCACACCATAGAAGGGTTCCGGGCCCAGTTGGGCAGTTTTTGCCTCTAACTTTGCCAGATGGTCGGCATATGATATCAACACTAACAGTGAATAGTAAATATTTAAGATTCTGTTCATATTGAATGAACAAAGAAAAACTAGTTTAAAACATTATTAGATAGTTGAATGTACAATAATATTTTATTTAAGAAATAAAATAAAGGACGATTTCAGTGGTCTAGCCGTTTCACACTGCATTACTTCCAGGTTCGAAGACTACCCAACCTCTACCCGCTATAATACAGACAGCGGCCGTTCTTACGTCCGTTCGTTTGCAGGGTACAAACTTTTCTTTGTATATCTTAATATAGTCAGTTTTCGACCACTGTGAGACTATTAGTAATAATAAATATACCTATTCAAAGACGGCTTTCCTAATGACTACCCGCAGACAGACAGACATCTGCTGTTTTACGTCCGTTCGTTTGCAGGGTTCAAAATTCTTTTTGTATTTTTTATTACTACTACTACTAGTAATAATAATTGCACTATTCAAAGCCTATCCAACTTTTAACTGGGCTAGTAATAATAATCGTACTTTGCGATAGCCTCCCTGCCCTCTACCCGCTATAATAAAGACATCTCCCGTTTTACGTCCGTTCGTTTGAAGGGTTTAAAGTTCTCTTTGTATTTTTTTATAGTCGAATTTCGACCACAGAGCAACTATTAGTAATAATATCTGTTTGCAGGCAGCTTTCCCAACCTCTACCCGCTATAATACAGACAGCGGCCGTTGTTGCGGCCGTTTGTCTCCAGGGTTCAAAATTCTTTTTGTATTTATTATTATAGTCAATTTTCGACCACTGGGCGACTATTACTAATATTAATTATACCTGTCCAAAGACGACTTTTCCAATCTCTACCCGCTACAATACAGACCGCAGCTCGTTCCTACGTCCGTTCGTTTGGAGTACAATTTGTTAGGTTCTCCCAAGATGCAATAAAGTGCAGTAATATCGTAAAAGCATTGCTATTACAACTAAATATTTGAGTTGTGAGCGTAATAAAATGCAGGCGCAGTCTGGTTTATTAACTAGCTATAGCTATACTGTACACGAAACTTGTTACAATACAATTTACGTTCAATTTGAAATAACTCGAGAGGCCATGAAATATTGTAATTTTCCGGTGATATGCACAATCATAGGTACATTTGTTTGGGTTTTAAAATTAATTGTGTATTTGAATATCACATTGTACATCCGAAAGATAGACAAAGAAATGTATAGGTATATATTATGTACTAGCTGTACCCGCGAATTCGTCCGCGTGGAATTTTTCTAAAATAAAAGTAGCCTTAGTACATCAGCTACCTGCCAAAAATAGTCTCGTCAAAATCGGTCCAGCGATTTCAGAGATTAGCCGGAACAAACAGACAGACAGACAAATATTGTAAAAAATGTTATTTTGGTGTATGTACAGTATTTATATTCATATGCATGTAGTAAAAAACGGTTATTACAATGTGACCTGTAGCACAGCGACCTATATAGATCTATTCTCGCCCTGTTTCAAAGTTCGCTACCTAGGCCCGTCAGGGACAAGAATTGAAGGATATTCTTAGGAGCGATGGTTTTTATCTCCTCGGGAAAGAGTGTAAACTTTCCAAAGGAGAATTTCGTTTATGCATGAGTGGGCTACAACCACATAGGATGTGAAGCGGCGTTTCCTCTTCAGTTTGGCAGAATCTGCAGATTTTGTCGTGCATAGGCCTAGTTTTGCCATATGCTTGTTTAATTTGCAGTGTCCTGTGAGTTTTGAGCGTTTCCTTTTCAGTTTGGCTCGGTGGTCTAGCGGTTTAGCACACCGCTTTAGTTCCGATGGTCGCGGGTTCGATTCCCACTTGACCGATTCTTATGAAATTTTTATATACTCTATACTGAGAGTAGGTTTTTATTCAATTATTTTAGTAAGTAGTAAGTGATATATATCACTTACTATATCGAATTATTGATTCTACATTAAAAAATACATACAACCCAAGTTTTCCCCCTTCTTTCTACCATCAACACCTATTTCTTAATAACGATAATATGAAATTCTTGGAATGTTATCTATTTTTAATAAATTCACAGATCGCGTATGATAATATTAATCATAATTTATTTACTTTATCATTAAATAAGTTCTCATAAATTAAATTAAACTACAAATTAATAATAAAATTTCCTACAAAGACAAACAAAATATTACCATCCTAGTCATTTCTGAGTATAGCCAGTCCATATGTTCTAGAAATTGTCTTCTTTTTTAAAGCCCAGAATGAAATGAAAATTTGGATAATTGTGCTATAAAATAATAAAAAAATCACTACAAAGACTTAAAATACTCATGAACTGTCAATATTTTTTTAGAAATTGTGTCTCCTTTTTTAAAGTCTAGAAAGAAGTGGAAATTTTGATAATTGAGTATCATCAATTGCTATAAAATAATAAAAAAAATCACTAGAAACACTCAAAATAATCCCATCCTAGTCATTTCTGATTATACCCATTAACTTAAAGAATCGAAAATTTGGATAAAAATTTGAGTATACTCATGAATTGCTATAAAATAATAAAAAAACACCATACAATAAGATACTCCCATCCTAGTCATTGAGGATACTCAAATACTGTCAAAATTTTCTAGAAATTGTGTCTCCTAAAAGTGTAGAAAAAAGTGAAAATACTGGCAGTTTATGAGTATCCTGAACTATCAATTTTTTCGGTTATTTCAAGGCTTTAAAAATATATCAAATATTCTTTTTCTTGACTTAGTATATGATCTTTAAATTTTACTCTGTAAGTTCTCTGTAAGTACTCTGACCCCAAATAACGGGATAAAGGCAAGGCAATGATGATGATTTCCCAGTATGTTATCATTAGCTCTCAATATAATACCTTTTTCGTCTTAAACTCGAATAACCTCACTTCAGTCACTGACTGTGTGCCTTCTTTCTTTCAAATGTCTTCAAATAAAAAGTGACAGAGCTTCTCAATAGTTAAAACGAATTTGCGAGAGGTTTTATGAAGAAAGTTAGAGATTTATAATTAATCTTTGCTAGTTCTTTCTTTAATTATGCTATTAGTGATTTGAGATTAGCTTTACAATGTACATTTTTCTAGTTTTCCTGAAATTTCTCACGAATGGGCATTCTTTTAGGTTCTTTTAGAAGTTTAAAATAATCTGATAGTTCTGCTCCTAGTGCTTCATAAAATTCTACATTTTTCTTTCATCGTTTACTAAATATATATTTTTTAGTTTTTCTAAAATCTAGAATTAAATGTGGTTGCTTCCACATTACTATATAATTTATTACAATTACAATAATATTCTAGTTTTTCTGACCACTCTCATGAGCATCCAATTTAACTTCATTCAAGGCTTTAAAATAAACATTTGGTAATTTTTTCTTCACTTCATCAGTTTTGGCGACATTTTTGAAATCTACATTATTCTTATTTTTGTCTTCGTCATTATCTATATTAATGTTACTAGATTCAGAATTCATATGTTTCAATTCATTTTTCTTAAATTCTACAGGTTTTTTATTTAGCCTTTCTGAATTTATGTGGTTTTCATTCTCTACTAAATTGTTTATATTGTTTTTATCAACTTTACTAGGCTCAGTGATCTGAGCTGCCTCGAAATGACTGACTGTAGTCTTTGTATGTTTGATACCGAAACTTTTGATGTATTTTCTTAGTTTTCTATTTAGTCTGTGTTTAATTTGATTTCTTTCGTGATTGTCGTGTTGGTTATTCTTGGTGATGTCTCTTCTGAATCTGATGGGTGCTTGGTTTGAATAAAGGTTGGGTAACTAGAAAAAATATATATTTTATTCAATAATTTAAAAACTTTTAGAATAGTTGTAGTTATTTTAATATTAGGACTGAAAGTATAAAATACAAGATACTTCTTGGATTATAAACACAAACAACAGACAAAAATTGTGACTCATCTAGAACCCAAAAAAATATTTTTGAACTGGATTATAAATACAAACAGCAGACAGAAATTGTGACTCATCTGTGTAGAACCAATAAATTTTATTTTGAAAGTCTGGTAAATCTACATCAAGATCCTCCACTAACAAAGAGAAGGGGGTAGAGATTCGTGGTATATTTTTCTAATAAGAACCAAAGAATTTACTTTGATGGACCGTAGCCAAACCTATGCGGTTGCATTCTCACCCTCTACTACGACTTCTGTGGGAGCATAAACCTCAAAAAGTTCTTTTATATAGATTATATTCCTAAAGAGGAAATTAAAAAGAAATTATATTTAAAGAGAATCTTCAAAACATTGTTTTTTAAGTATTTAGAATTCCATATCTATACATAGAAATAAAATTGGACTGTCTGTTTGTAATATTGAAAAAAACCGTTTTCTATTACATGCATATATGTATATATAAATACAGTACATACACCAAAATAACATTTTTTACAATTTTTGTCTGTCTGTCTGTTTGTTCCGGCTAATCTCTGAAATGGCTGGACCGATTTTGATGGGACTTTTTTTTGCAGGTAGCTGATGTAATAAGCAGTAACTTAGGCTACTTTTATTTTAGAAAATTAAGTTATATTCCACGCGGACGCAGTCGCGGGAAGAGCTAGTACTAATATAAATTTTGAGGGTCTCGTTGGTCTAGCAGTTTAACACGTCACTTTACTTCTGATACCACTCATGCGTTACCATTCCAGAGAATAAGACGTCATGCCTCTTATCCTGTAATTTCCTGAAATCCTGTAAATTACTCAGAATTTCAAATACATAAACTTATAAAACAAATAAAACTTACACTATCATAAAGAGTTAGTTGTTTGTTCAGAAATTCTAGTTGACTTTCAAGATATTGTTTTACCCCAGTCATTTTGCTCTGAAACAAATATTTTAAACTTAACTACTTACTTACTAAGTACATATTCATCTTTACAATTTCATACATACAAAACATCTGTCGGTAAATGGTTATCGTTGACACAATGTGATGGTAAATGGTTTTTTTTTAAATGATGATAATGGAATGGTGCCCCCGCCTGCGCTAACGGTTTACGCTGGCGGGGCACCAGTGGAGGATGATAAGATGAACATGATGTCAGATCAGTTAACCCATCGTGATAAATTCACCGGGAATGAATCACGATTAAAAAAAAATTGGATTTAAAAAAAAAGTAATTCAATTGAGTTTCTTGCCAGTTCTTCTCAATTGGATCTATATACCGAACTGGACGGTAGGGAAAAAAAATTATAATGTAAAAACTTGACGTTCATAAGCGGCTAAAATGTCCTACATGAATAAATGATTTTTGAATTGAATTGAATTTGAATTTGATGGTTTCCAGGGGGAACCGCGTGGAGGTCGATCTGGCATGGTACATTGCTATCATGGGATCATTACTCCACATTACTAACAATCCACTTTCCCCCTGATGGTAAATGGTTACCGTAGCCTATAGACGCATGACACACCAGGGGTGTCACGTGCAAAGAATGAAGAATGAAGAATGAAGAATGAAGAATGAAGAATGAAGAATGAAGAATGAAGAATGAAGAATGAAGAATGAAGAATGAAGAATGAAGAATGAAGAATGAAGATTAAAGAATAAAGAATAAAGAAATTATACAGTTGACGTTCATAAGCGGCTAATATGTCCTACATACGAATAAATGATTTATGAATTTGAATTTGAAACACTTTGAATTTGAATAGTCTAAGAATAAGATTAGACGACCTCGGTGGTATAGCGGTCCAGCATACCGCTTTATGTCCAATGGTCGCGGGTTCGATTCCTCGCACGGATCAAACATTTGTATTCAAGAGTATGATTGTTTGTATCGTTCTGGGTATTTTCTATGTATAATGTATGTATTTACTAAAAAAAAAAATTTTATGTATTTGTATCAGTTATCTAGTACCCATAACACAAGCTTTAGCTAGCTTAACTTGGGACTAGATGGCGCTGTGTGAATTGTCTTGAGATTATTATTATTATTATTAAGATAAATTTTCAATTCGAATTATTTGTATATTTGTTCTTTTGAGCATAAAGCTGTATACAGGGCGGAGTCAATGTCTGATGGCATTGTCTACCAGTCAACTGTCGCGCTGATCAGAGACACTAAGGCGCAAAAAGCAAACTATATAAGCTCATAGACTGTACCACTATGAATTATTAGTTAGTTTAACGCATCCAAGCTCTCATCCCAAACTCTTCTTTAATAATGTGTTTTCAGTAACCTAAACATTTAACTATGTCCTTTCTCAATGTCTAGACTATCTGTGTACCAAAATTTGATAAATTTTAGACCAGCTGTGTCCGCGGTTTCATCCGCGTCAAATTTCAATAAAAAATATAGCCTATATGTCATTCTAATGCATGAGCTATATTACTGTAAAGTTTCATCAAAATCCGTTTAGTAGTTTTTACATGAAAGAGTAACAAACATCCATCCATACTCACAAACTTTCGCATTTATAATATTATATTAAGATTTGGCTGCAGTAAACTAAACATTAACATTTTCAAAATTTACCTTATTCTCATCATTCATTTCATTATACTGTTCCATTAGAGTTTGAATTGCATGTATGGTTCCCAAACATTCCGATCTGGGATCTATATGTATGTCCTTCTCGTTTGACGTGGCGAGATCTAGTATGTGATCTGTTTTATCTAAAATTGAGAGAAACTTCTTATCGTTCTATGGATTCACCGTGCACGTACCGGGTCCATCGTGTGGCAGAGAGGGAAACTCCGAACAGTTTCCGGAACTTGTAACTTTGTGTAGATTTAAGGGACCCATGCTGACGTCAACACTCACCTTCATCGCTCCGCTCATGTTTCTCTCCCTGCCCAACAAATCGGGTAGGAGCAGGCTCCTAATTTTCTCCTAGTGTAGCTTTAGATTCACGTTTCTAGTACAGAACTAGTAGAGAAGAATTTCTTGCAAATTCTTCTTTGCCCAAATTACATTCGAACGCTCATGTTTCTCTCCCTGCCCAACAAATCGGGTAGGAGCAGGCTCCTAATTTTCTCCTAGTGTAGCTTTAGATTCACGTTTCTAGTACAGAACTCTTAGAAATAGTAGAGAAGAATTTCTTGCAAATTCTTCTTTGCCCAAACTACATTCAACCTACATCACAAGAAGTCAAATGTACGGATTAAATTTCCCTGGAATTGCGTGCTTACCGTGTTGCTGGTGCTCATGGGCGATAGTAATCACTTACCATCGGGTGAACCGCACGCTCATTTATCCTATAAAAATACTATCGAATAGAAGAGGTTCTACTCTTGGCATGAATGAAATAAAAAGCTTACAAGACTATTTACCAATATTTAAGAAAAAAAATGGCATACTACCGTATTTCTCCAAATAATCTTCATCCAGTAAATCATCATGAAGTCTCAATTTGTATTCCGCAGGTTTGGAGGTCTCTTGAGAGTTCGCAGATATTAACCATTCCAAGAACGCTTGCAGATCTGCTGGTAATTCTGGAAATAGAATGTGGACATTTATAGTGCTGTTTATATGAGGATGAATATGGTAATGAAGTAAATGAAACTCTGATAAGAATAAGATTTAATTATATAAGGACGAATAAGGTAAGGAAGGTAATTAAGTAAATGACACTCAGACACCATAATAATAAAGTCTCGATACCGAAACGTGGGTTACAAGAGGGATTAAGGGAATAATAATAACCCTGGCTGACTCACATAGCGTCATCTAGTTAAGCAAAGTAGAGCTTGTGTTATGCGTAGGAGACGACTACGCCGAGACAACTGATAGAAATACTTAATATATCTATTTTAAAATACACACAATATAATAGAAAACACTTGATCAATATGATTGTATTAATGATACAAATGTTCGTATAGGGTCAAAACCAGAAATAACATTTCGCATAGATACTAACTAAGACACGTTTTCTCCTGAACCTGGAAATCCACCAGATCAGTCATGAGCCGTACAAGTTCCTTCATCAGAGACGTCGCAACATTTTCCTCCTTACCATCTTCCCTGACTAAAAAATATATCAGAAATCATAGTTTACACAATAAATAAAAGGAAAAATGCTTATGAAAAAAAAACGCAGGATTAAGAAATCAAAAGATCATAATTAAAAAAATAACAAGCATGAAGGATAAGTTTTCTAGAGGTAGACTGTAAAAACTCGTCTGCGTATGTAGCTCAGTCCACCTATTGCAGCTGCTTGGCAACTTGCTTTGTAAGATATGTTTCGTTTGTAGGGTGCGGATTAGGTAGTAAAATTACAGGTTACTTTTAGGCCTCAGACCTGACAATACAAGAATGGTATCATAGTGTAGTTCATGTATATAGACGACGGTTACCATTTACCAATCCAATTACTTTAAAAACATAAAGGGACTCGAGCAGGTCTAGGGCTTATGCTAGGCGAAAATACTGTAAACTAAAACTCTCAAAATTTTCAGTATAAACTAAACCTTTAGATCTCTGTCGTAATTTTATCACTTTGGTTTTTTCTCTGTATAAAAGTTATAAGAAAGTAGAATATAAAGTAACCTTTAATATTCTTTGTTTCCTGTACAGCTTTTGCAGCTTCCTTGCAAACATCTTTCATTTTAATTGTCAATGCGGCAAAATCAGTGGGTTTATTAGTATCGTGCTGAAATATTAATTACTTTGTTTTTCCTCTGAACGAGGCATAATCAGGCGTTAAATACATCTCGGAAGCCTAGTGTTGAGTCATCGGCTTAAAGTCACGGTTTGGTCGCATAAGGATAAACAAATTTAATACGTATTAACGTATTAAATTTGTTTTAACATACCTAAGGATTATGATCTAGTGGTTCACCACCTTATGCGACCAAACCGCGACTTTGAGCCGATGAGTCAACACTAGGCTTCCGAGATGTACCCGAACTCTATTTAACGCCTGATGATGCCTCGTTCAGAGGAGAAACACGTGTCGCGAAATGGGTGTAGACTCAATAACGGTCGATATTTGATCGCCACTGGAAAGGTTCGTAGTGCTGGTCAGGTTTCCGCACCGAATGTTTGTGGTCTCACACATGTTGATTGTGTCAGAATTAAACAAAATAATATAAATTCATCGAGTAGTGAAATGGACTTCCGTAAAATAACACCTAATTCGATTAAAAATTGATTTAATCAACGTTCAATTTTGGCCGATCCTAAATTATTTTGTGTATCAATTTCTATTTCTTTCTGGTGATAGAAAAAATCAAATTAACAAGACAGCCATGTTTGATTATTTGAAATGTAAATGACGTAGTGGTGAACTCAATTCACCACGACATTAACAGTGTTGAGAATGTTTTCGACTACTCCATCTGAATTAACAGCCGTGAAGGCATAACCGTTACTTACATCCGAGTGTTTTGCATTTCTCTTCTTAATCACTTTATTATTTGAATGTGCTAGATTTCTGAAAAAATATATTCACTTCGTAAATAAATTAGTCATGATTTCAGTAATAGAAATGATTTTAATCATTCTTACCCATTTCTGTTAACTCCCGAAACATTTTTCTTACTATTTTTTTGACTAGCCTTAAAACCTCTGAAATATTTATGAACTTTGTCTTGAAGCCATTGTCTCGATTTCTTCACAAAATCTGTGCCCTTGTTTGCGCGTTTATCAGCAATTTTCTCTTCAAGTGGATCAAGTCTAATTCCATATTCATCATCATATATGTCATTCCAAAATATTAAATTGCTATCTTTTGGTACACTTCTTTTTACTACGGATTTGACTGTAATATTATCGTTGGATTTGCTTTCTTTTGTAATATCATCAGTGTTGACTTCATTGTGTTTCTGGATTGTAGCGAGTGATTTTACATCATTAGTGATAGCAATTACATTTGGTAAACTGCTTGTAGATGTATCTGTAAAATGTTTAAGTATATTAAATTAAGATTTGCGCTCGATTGCGCTCGGTTTCTTGAGATAAAAAAAGGCATTTCCATCATCAACGGGATACAATTATTCATGATAGTTTGTATTAAGATTTATTCTGATGATTATGTGAAAAGCATCAAACAGACAGATAGATCCTTTTGTATCTGTAATATTAGTATGGATTGAAACTCATACGGTGTAAGTTCAAAATAATTTATTCACATAGGACCTTTCGGCCTCTTATGCATATCATATTTTTTATCACTATCCATATCCTCCTGCTGTTCAACTAGCTTCTTCAGTTGAGAAGAATTGTCAAGAAACTCAACGGGTATATTCTTTATGTTAATATTGTTCTTTTTATTCAGTTTAGTTAGGTTAGTAAAATATCAATAAAATAATCCACGTATATCTAAAACGAAATTATTAGTCTTACTAGCATTATGTAGATTTAAAGAAAAGTTTGTTTGTTTGTTTGTAATACTTTATTGTACAATAATATTATAAATAAAAGGACACAATTGACTTAGAAAAAAAGAAAACATGCGTACAATGGCGGACTTATCCCAGAAGAGGGATTTCTTCCAGTCAACCTTTGAGTTACTGAGAGGAATTGCGCAGTGGTGGAAATAGGTACAATAAATAATACGCGTCACAATGACATATATAACCAATGATATATACAGAAAATACACAAAAATATATATACATATACATACATACATACATACACATACATATACACATACACATATACATACATATACACATACACACACCAGAAAGGAAAAGAAAAATAATGTAAATAAGTGGAGCATTAAAAAAGCGCAGACTCAGAATGACTCCAGAGCTTATTAAGATGTCTCTTAAGAGAACTGATCGAAGGCGATAGTCTAATCTCTGTGGGGAGTGAATTCCATAGGCGTGCTGTTTGTACAGTAAAAGAAGTGTAGCGGTGGCTTATATGATAAGGAATTGTGAGTACAAGGTCATGATAAGAACGTATATGCTCTCCAGTACGGAATCGGAATCTCTCCTGCAGGTAAAAGGGCGAATGAAGAGGATTTGGAATAAGAGGGTAAGGAAATGAATATTCCGACGAACACGGATAGGAAATGAGCTGCTCACGGTAGGCTGAGATATGATCAAACTTTCGTAGACCAAAGATAAACCTGATACATAGATTTTGCAGCCGCTCCAGCTTATCAAGCAACTCCTCAGAGGGATCTAGAAAGGCACTGTCAGCATAATCCAGTACGGGAAGAAGTAGTGATCGAGCCAGCAACAATTTGGTACCCAAGGGCAGGAAAAACTGCAGGCGTCTGAGAGAATGGAGAGATGAAAATAATCTGCGGCTTATGTCACTTATGTGAGGCCCCCAAGATAAAGTCTGATCCATGATTATTCCTAGATTCTTGACGGTGGGAGAGAAAGGAATATGATTGCCGTCAAAGACAATGTTAGGAATTTGGACAGATTGTAAGCTTAAGATGGAGTGGTGACTGCCGACAATGATAGCTTGAGACTTCGCTGCATTAATTAATAGACCGAATTTTTGAGACCAATCAGCGATGGTGCAGAGATCGTAATTTATATTGTTGATTGCACGAGCTATATTGTCAATAGGAGCAGCGGTGTATAACTGAAGGTCATCAGCGTATAAATGAAAAGAAGAGGAGAGAGAGGCCGTGATACCATTAATAAAAAGTGCAAAAAGAATAGGTGATAATATTGCACCCTGTGGGACCCCAGCCAGAACATTAGCCCAGTTGGAGCGGAAATCATCAACTTTCACCAGCTGACGCCGGCCAAACAGGTAAGATCTAAACCAGGAGAGAGCAGGAGAGGAAAAGTTCAGGGAACAGAGGATAGCCAGCAACAGGTCAAAATCAACTGAGTTAAAGGTACTAGTGAAATCGAGTAATACAAGAACTGTCACATCTTTATTTTCAATATTGTGCCTTATGTCATCAGTGATCTTGACAAGTGCAGTAACCGTACTGTGTGCACTTTCGACTGGTAGCGACTCAATAAGCTACCTTGTCAACAAAATCAGAGAGCCGCAGAAGCACAAAATGTTCTAGAATTTTGGAGAGGAATGGGAGGATAGATATAGGACGAAAGTCGGATATAGAGGATGGGTGAGATGTCTTCGGAAGAGGAATAACATGACTATTCTTCCACGAAGAAGGAAAAGTACCGGTGGATAAGGAGCAGTTCAAAATGTCTACAATAAGAGGAGCTAGTAAGTTCTTATTGGGATCAATCATATCAAATCCGATACCGTCACTGCCGAGAGCTCTAGACTTGATTGAACTTAGGATTTTTAGGAACTCATCGACAGATATTTCCCCAAATGAGAAAGGACCTTCATCATGTGAATGAGGGGAGTTAGGAAGGGAGGCCAAAGTTTCTTGTTTGGTAACGGGATTTGGACGTACAGGGGGAGAAACAAAGGACTGGTTGATCTCATCAAGATTGGGAAAGTTAACATCCCAGGTTTGACGTTTCCCGATACCAATACTGCGCAAGTAGTTCCAGAGCTTACCAGGAGGGCACTTTTTAATATTTGAGTGGATATGCCTACGTCTAGCCTGCCGACATAATCTATTACACCTATTCCGTAAGGTAACGTAATACTGGCGATCACTTTCAGTAGAACTACGACGTAACCTGATCTTGGCTCTATCCCGTTTACTCATGAGAGCTTTCAGTTCCGTTGTTAGCCATGGAGCCGGATTGTGTTTAAGGCGCACTTGCTGTACAGGAGCATGTTTATCGTAGATGCTCAGAATCAGGTGTTCAAATGCAGCCACTTTAGAGTCGACATCTGCAGCAGAGAGGATGTGACTCCAATCAGCAAGACGAAGATCACTCTGCAAGGCATCAAGATCCACGGCACTAAAATTCCGACGGAGGACGACCTTATTTCGGCGTTTAGGAGGACGGAGTTTAAAAGATGCATAAATAAGGTCGTGGTTTGAGAATGCAGCAGCACAGAATTGACCATGGGATTCAACTAGGTCTGGAGATGATGTAATAACAAGGTCAAGAAGGGATGGCGGACCATTGTGTGGAAAATGAGTAGGGAGGAGGGGTAGGGAATTTAGATTAAGAGAGTGGAGTAGAGATAGAAGCATTTTAGAACGGCAGTCATTTTTGATTAGGCACGTGTTAAAGTCGCCCATAATAATAAGATGGTCGAAATGGGGTCTCAATTCAGAAATTACGTTTTCGAGGGAGTCAAAATAATTAACATGAAGGGATGGACTGTAATAAATACCCACCAGAACTTTAGCGCGATTTAGACAAATTTTGATAAATAAATGTTCAGGGCCATTATGAATAGGAGAAGATTGATTTACCACTTCGTAGGGAATATCACGGCGAAGATAAATAGCCACTCCACCGCCTCCAACCATTCTAGAAACCTCTCCCCGTTGTGTAACGCAGGTTCGATCGTTTCTTATTAGATTATAGCCCGGGAGGATATAGAGAGAGGAGGATAACGATGGTTTAAGGAAAGATTCCGAGATCAGAATTGCGTGAACATGATTGGAAGTAAAAGTACTCAAAAGGTCTGAGTAATGCGCAGGCACGCTTTGAGCATTAATATGAACTACGTTAAAGTTTTTACCAAAAGAAGAGAATTTAAAATTAATATTACTTTCTAAGGAGGGCATATCCGGGATATCATCCTCTGCGCTGGAAAAACTGTCTGATGAGGAAGAGAGAGAAATATTCATTATCAGATTCGCAATTTAGTATATGTGACATGATTACTAATATTTATATATATATATATATATATATATATATATATATATATATATATATATATAAAATAGAATAAATTTATAATTATAAAAGTATTATAATATTTAAAAAAACTTGAATATTAAATTATTCAAAGAATGTAATAAATTCCGCATCAGTCCACTCGCCGGCAGCTGAATCAAATTAACAAGGTATAATAGCACAGCTACATCAAGTACTTACGAAAATAAATATATTTAGAATCATACGTATTCATAGGAATACAAATATTAAGCAATAAAATTTACGTGCTGATAAGTGACAATAAGATTAAAGAAAAAAAAAAAAATGCAATGCTTCCAAGATCGTAAAATTAAGTATAGATTTTTTTATGACTTTTGGATATCTGTCACTTGTCATTGAGGTAAAATAAATGTAAACAAGTAATGACAATAAAAAGACAAAGAAAATTAACACGATTACCCCCAAGTGTGATAATACTTCACAAGACAGTTTTATATGTTAACCTACAAGTATGTTAAGTAGAAATAAAATTGTCTACAACGGGTATATAATATAAGCACGCAAAAAAAAAAAAAATAAGAAACAAAAAAAAAAATGATAAGAAATAATGCCATCAACCGTTATTTACCACCTTGTATCGGTTTGGCCAGGGCACGGGACCTGGTTTGAGGTGGCTTGTTCCCAGCACGTGTAGATGAGCTGCTTGCAGGCTTGGCCTTCGCTCCATGGCCTCCAGTAATCGATTCCGTCTCGACGAACAGAGTTTTAATGGAACTAAGTTCTTCCATTGTAGTTATCTTCCTAAGTGAGCCATCTGGGCACACCACCATGACCTTGCCATTACCAGTCCAGCAGCCCTTAACACCTAGAGTCTTACGTGCCTCCATAAACACAGCATGTCTTGTACTGGTCAAGAATTCTGATAATGTCAACCCACTGCCACGAAGATACTTTTTAGCGGACCAGACCTGTGAGCGATCAGAAATGCTATTGAAGCGCACCAGGATTGGTCGGGGTTTGTCCTGTACTTTCCTTCCCAGACGCATACAGCTACCAAATGTTGCAGATGTTGTGTTAAGCTGAAGTTTGTGCTGACATAAACTTTGGAGGTATTCCGACATGTTCTCATCATCTGCCTCGGCTACACCATGAAGCAATAGAATATTAGATCTGGATCTCATTTCAGTGTTGTCAAGTGTCATCAAGACAAGTTCCAACTGAGCCTTTAAACTAGACACGGTTTTCCAAATAAGACTTTTAAAAGTGTGAAACTCACTTGACAATGATGCAATATCAGTTGATGAGCTGCGGGCATTCAAATCATCTTCAAAAGATGCCAATTTTGTAGAAAACAGCTGAGTGAGGTCATCCATATTCTTGCGAAGTTGCAGTAGGTGATCCATAACGAATAGTGATTATAACTTGTAGAAAATAATAAAATGAAAATAAGGGTGAAAAAAAAACAGCTGCCGATGTGGACTAATAAACTACTTCATGTGAGTTAATAAATAATTTAATTTTACTGTAGAAATTAATTTAAAACAAATAAAATAAGGAGGAGCTAAATTAAATGTGTGTTTACTTTCCTACCCCTTAAGTCATTTAAATTTAGTGTCGCACCTGATTCTACTGTAGTTTTTAAATATTGCTTTTCCGCTTCGTTATTTTCTACTTTACATATATTTTTTAATTCATTATTAGCAGACATGAGAACTCTTGATCTGTGTCCAATATTATCAACCATATCTGTATCGTACATAGGATATACAATATCTATACTAGCATTTTTCTGTGCATTATTTAAATTGTGCTTTATATTAATTATATTGGGACTGAAAATACAATAAAGTTCATTGAATTAGTTGTAATAAATACCACGTGGAATTATTTTATAAACTAATAATAAGCATTTTGTCAATGTGATCTATTTTAATTTCTTTACCATCAATTCAGTCGTTAACAACGAAATAGTAGCAAATAGATTGACAGACACTTTGCTATTTTAATATTAGTATATATAGATAAATGCTAATAATTATAGAATGTTAACCTAATCGTAGCATTAGTATTCATAGAGACGCCAGTCAATCTACTAAACCAATTTGAAATTAACTTGAAAAAGTCACTAAGCTCTTGTCCAAAACCAGTGTCGTCAATTTCATTTACTTCGTTTTTGGTATTATTAATTTTAGTAGTAGTGTTATTATTTGTATGGATTTCTGATATATTATTAAAGTTTTTTATAGTAATCCCAGGTATATTCTCTTGAAGATTTTTTCCAGTAACATTTTGGTCACCAACAGTATTAGATTCCATATTAGTGTTATTTTGATCGGAAATGAATTTTAATGAACGTTTTCGATAAAATCCTACAATAGTGTCCCAATCATTTGAAATTTCATATGAACGATTAACGTTTTCAAGAACATCATTGTCATCATCATCATTTTCGGGTTTATTATCAATTTCTACGGCCTTCAAAGATCGCTTTCTATAATGATATTTATTGTCATTATCAAAATAATTTCCTTTGTCATTCGAAAAAGGTTTCTTCTCTAATTTGTCTTTGCCCATCGATGGAATTGCACCTCTATCTTCATCGTATATATTTGTAGTTGTAATATCTTCAAGATTAATTGCTTTTGGTGTTGCAGTTGAAAAAAGGACAAATTGTGAATCCATGGGCTTGAAACTTTGATGCTGCATAACGGAGTCAGGATCATTAGTGAATTTTAAGTGTTTCTGTATTTTTTTGACAAATCCCAATTGATTAATATCTTCACGGGAACTTGAAGTAGGTTTGACTTCAACCCTAATGCCTTCGGATTCAGTACCTGAAATGTAAAAACAAAATAATTGTGGTAGTGGTAGTTATTTTACTGACATTTTAGTGATTTTGTAGTAAAATTAAATTACTCAAATACCTTTTTTAAGTCTATTAAATAGCTTATTATTAAAGTACTTAAGCTTTTGAATAGATAGTTTAACTCTATTTTTCATTGATTTATCTTGATTATTATCATTTCTAGAATCCTTCTTCTCATTAAGTACACCGTAGTCACTGTATGCTTGTGCCATTTTAGCTAATTTATCATATTTATTGTGAACATAATCTTCAACATATTGTACATCATTTAAATCCAATTTAGAATTTGTTTCTTCATATGTATCAACTGGTATATTTGTTTTATCATTTGTATTTTCAATTGCCGCTTGTTTTATCATAGTGTTTAATTCATCTGGATATAATGGTAGCGGGCCTTTCCAATTTGGATTGTGAACTCCAGGTGGATTGGTTTTTATAGATTCATATGGAGATTTTGATTCTTCAAATTGATTGTCCTAAAAGTAAGTAGACATTTATACTAAATTATATAAATTGATTAGGACGTAGAAGAGTTCACTAATTGTACAAATTTATTTAATAATTTATTTCAAACAAATTGTGGTTCTGTCTATTTGATTTTCTCTATCTCTGAAACAGTAGGACCGATTTTGACGGGATTTCTACGAATCAGGATTGACGGGTTATAAGGACTAACTTAGGCTACTTTTATTTTAGAAATTTTATTTATATTAATCTACGCGGATAAGTCGCGGGTCACAGCTAGTTTACCATGAACTTAGTAGTGTGTGTCTATCTGTTTGTTATGACGACATCAAACAGTTAAAACTCACTTTGACGTATAAATAGGTAATTAAAACATAAATACATATAATGGAAATATTCATGATTTTACTCATTGCACTATGCATGTAAGGCGCACTTTTTAACATTTTTAAATTAATAGAAACAAAATCCTATTAATATAAGCTGAGACTGATAAAGATTTGCATAGTAATAATAGTAGAGAGTTCTTCATTAATAAACTTATTAACTCTCACACCAAAACTTACATTCGACCTCTTCTTTTTGTTGGCACTGCGATCGGTTTCATCATGTGATTCCATATCATCAGTTAGAACTTCTTTGAAGTCTTCATATAGTACACTATCCTCATCTTCTTCATTTATTTGCATTAATTTCCTCAAATTTGGATTTACATGTGACATTTTCATTGGTACGGTGCCTTTTTTATGAGCTGGGCTGCTGTAAATTAAATAATTTATGTTTAAGTAAAACGTACTTTCTAGCACACCATGGATTCACCGCGCGGGTGCCTGGCTCATCGTGTAGCAGAGAGGGAAACTGCGAGCAGTTCACGGGAATTGTAACTCGGGTGTAGCTTTAAGGTACCCTTTGCTGACGTACGTTGCCATTTGCCTTTACCGCTCGTGTCTTTCTCTCTACTAGACAAATCTGGTAGGAGCCTGCTAGTTCAGCTGTAGATATACAGTCTAGTATTGATTTTAACAGAGTTCTAGATAGGCCAAACTCTTTTAGTAGATTGTAGTGACATTCTGCTGGGATACCTCTCACTTCTATTTCGACGGTATATATATTAACTACTCTACTTGTTCGAGTCAAAATAGTTTTATACTAGTACAACTAGATGGCGCTGTATTTTTGCATACATATTTCTAAAACACGCTAATAAGATATTTTTGTTATTCCTTATATAGATATGTAATTTTTTTTTAGGCACTTAGATCAATATATACGGTTGTAACCTCATAACTGTATTTCATTCAATAAGTACAAACGCTCCTGATCTCCAGAACCTCGAATTTATACACTACTCGTTCTTCTTGTGAAGAGTCTGCGTTCCGAATGGACGATAGAATAAAAGAATGGCTATTCAAAAGTGCTTATATTAAGTTTATTTAAATATTGTTTATATTCTCTATTCTATTCTATAGGAATGTTTGCTGAATTAAACTATTTTCTTTTTAAAACTTACACGACCGTAGAAACACTGAGTGCAACACTAAAAGAATCAGTAGTAGACATCGGTTTCTCAATTCCAATATTATTAATATTGCTGTAAAAATCTTTTTCAAAATTTGACTCAGCACTGGAAACATTGCTTAAAAATTTAATATTCTTATTTTTTATTAATTTCCGTTGCTTTGCCGAATTATCAATATCTGTATTGTCTTTTGTTTTAAGAAGCTTATCTAAACCATGTGGATCTGCCATTATTTCCGGTAGATTCCTATCTAAGAATTTATCTAATAGCTCGTCTAATCTTTGAGTATTCTTATAAAATGGATGCTTCATTTGTGACTCGTGAGATTTACTATCTTTCGGTACATGGGAACACTTCGGTATCTTACGTTTTGGCGTATCCGGTTTGTATTGTACAAAAATCTTTTTCTTTTCTATAACAAATCCTGTCGGCTCGCCTGTTATATTTCTGTATCTTTTATATCTTTTTGGTTTGTATTTATTAATTTTTATGGCTGACAACGGTGGATAAAAGAGATTGTGGTATGTTAAATTGTAAATTTCGTCATCAGTGATGGCTTTATTATCAACGCCTTTATTGAGTTTGAATTGAAATAATGATAATGGATTAACGATAGATCTTTTCGATCTATCCAAATCATATTTGACGCCTGGATCGCCGTTCAATGTGTAATCTCTTCTCAGTTTTTTTATTTTCGCATCTGTTTGTATTAGTTTATTGTAGAAATCTGAAAAATAGAACAATTTTGTTAATTCACGGGAGGTTGACAACGTGTGACATATGACCAGAGAGCGTGGCAGTCACAAACTTAGTGATCATGATATCTAAGAACCATTCCAGGTGTCCTGTATTCCTTTTTAAAAGGCCGACAATTCACTTGCAATTCCCATGGTAGCGGGTGCTTATGTGTGGCGGTAATCACTTACCATCAGGTGAGCTGCATGCTCGTTTGTCCCCTGTACTATATAAAACGCGTGTTATAGTATACAACAAACTGAGAAAAGATTTGTAATGCATCCCATTGCTAGCAAAGTACCATGTCAGCTTGACCTCCACGCGTTTCCACCTGGAAACCAACGTGATAAATTCTTGGTGTATTTTCACGATGGGCTACCTGACCTGACCTCATGCTCATCTTATCATCCTCCACTGGTGCCCGTCAGCGTAAACCGCTAGCGCTGGCTGGTGCACTATTCCATTATCATGCTTAAAAAAATGCATCCGGTCGACGCCGAGACAGCTCGCTAGCAAAGTAAAAAAATATAAAAATAAAATAAAACTTTTAATTTAATCCTTATTCTGTTTGCCAAGTTCTGTTTTATTTTGTTTTGCTAAGTCATTGAAAACCTTTTATTGACTTTCTTTAGATATGTACTGTTGATTAATGTATTAGATTTTGTTAGGGTTCACATCGATATTGTCGAAAAATCTGATATTTTATATTAAAAGAAGGTAGTTTCATTATTACTCGGTATCGTTGACTAGTTGCGTATAACCCCCACTTATATCTTCTCTGTATAAAAGGGAGAGTTTTTGTAAGCCGCGGCATCCCCTCCGATCGATCCCCCGTCCAATTCAAACGGGGATCGAAATTACGACGGCCTGAGCCGAGGTTCGAACCCCTAGTGGTGCCCTCAGACTAAAGTCGTATCCGTCGGGCAGGAGTTGGCCTTCAGCCGCTCCATAAGTCCTTCCTATGGTTTTAATGCCATCTGCACTCGCCCCCTAACGTCCGGTGAAGTTGTTCATGCTGTAATGTTAGACATAGATACCTATATAAATATACTGCGGCTTTAAAAAAACAGCATTAGAGTCCGATCTATATACCGAACTGGACGGTAGGGAAAAAAATAAAATTATAAAAAAAAAGACACGGCATTCGGTGTTTGAGCACAGGATGTGCTGGTTGTATTTTAAATGCTAAAGTGAATTGTGTTAGAGATATAGTTAAATTAATGTTATATAGTTGTTATTTTATACATACTTTTACTAGTACATAGAGTTGATACACATCTTTTTTTTTTTTATTTTTATTAACCACAGACACAAAGTCCGTGCTCTTATTAAGTTAATTTTTACATTTTTGTTTGTCTTAAATTGATTTATTTAAGTTAATCTATTTTGGTCAGGCCCCATATGACAATTTTATGGATGTCAATATAATATAAAAATAACATAATAATACAAATTTACCAAAATTAAGTACAAATATGTCAAGTCGGAATTGAATAACTAATTAAAAATAATAAAATTGTCATATAATAAATTAAATTATAATTAAAAATAAATGTTAAATTAATTTAATTGTAAGCTTTTGTTTTTCTAAATAAATAAATAAAGTAAAATATATAAATAAAATTATCGTAAAGATACATATATAGTTATTGATGGTAGATTTAAATTTAACGTAAATATCTATATATAATAAACCTACAATCAGATATGATGAGCTATTTTTGGTCCCAAAAAAGCAGACATAGTCACGGGTAAGAAACAGTGTATAACAAATGACATACCTCTCAAACGCTCGCTGTTTCGTACATCGTTGACTTTCTCATTGTCTAGAACACTTGATAGTTCACTGTATTTGCTGTTGGAACCTTCCAGATTGTTCTAGAACAAATTAGAATTAAAAGGAATTAACTTCTATAGACGGAAGCTCGAACTGATGGTTTCGCTGCAATCTTTATTACTATAAACATGTACAACATTTATTTGAAAAGAATACGAGCTGAGTTTCTTGTCAGTTCTTCTCATCTCGAAATCATTCCGAACTGACGGTAGATTTGACATATCATAAGAGTCTGTAATAGACCTATATGAATAAAGATATTTTCAATTTGAATTTTGAATCAGCGCAAAAAGACTGCGTCTCTGTGTGAAAAGAATGATTGGCTTAACCTCTCAGGATGCATTATGAAGTTATATGTAATAGTGCTTTTATAATAATATAATAATAATAACCTCAGGACAATTCACACAGCGGCATCTAGACTCAAGTTAAGCTAGCTAAAGCTTCTGTTATAGGTACTAGACAACTGATACAAATACATAGATATTTTTTTTGTAAATACATACAATATGTATGTATTTACAAAAAAAATATCTATAGACATACATAATATCTATAGACTACACATAGAAAACACACAGACTGATACAAACAATCATACTCATGAATACAAATATACAGTGCGAGGAATCGAACCCGCGACCATCGTAGGTAAAACAATGTGCTAAACAGCTACACTACAGAAGTCGTCATTCAAATAAAAAATAAGTAGGAGATGACTTTATACAAAGTCTTCTCATTATATAATATATGCTCATTATGTACGATTTTATTTGATAACTTAAAAAAAAATCAAGTTTTATTATTCTTATTTCTTTTAAATAAAAAATTCAAAACTCAAAATTCAAATACATGTAGATGTCATCTACATAAATAAATGATTTTTGAATTATGTCGTCTTTATTTTTTTTATAAAGAAATTATCATGTTAGGTAATAATATTCATTTTTTTAACTTTTAAATTTCTCTTTTATTTTTCTCTTTTAACTTTTAATTGACGACCTTGGTGGTATAGCGGTCTAGCACACCGCTTTATGTCCTATGGTCGCGGGTTCGATTCCTCGCACGGTACAAACATTTGTATTCATGAGCATGATTGTTTGTATCGGTCTGGGTGTTTTGTATGTATATTGTATATGTATTTACGAAAAAAAAAAATCTATGTATTTATATCAGTTATCTAGTACCCATAACACAAGCTTTAGCTAGCTTAACTTGGGACTAGATGGCGCTGTGTGAATTGTCCTGAGATTATTATTATTATTATAATTAGCCGCTTAACGACAAATTTTTTATATTATATTTTATTCCCTATCGTTCAGTTCTGTATATAGTCTCAATGGAGAAAAACTGGCATGAGACTCAATTGAGTGATTTTTACTTTTTTTTAAAAGCCAGTTTATTTACAATGTATATTTATATAGGTGTCTATGTCTAACATTAAATGAAAATCCCGTGCATGAACAACTATTGGCATGCACGCTCGTCATTCAAGTAATCGTTTAGTGAGTAAATATAATTCAACTTTGCTGGCTTTGCTCAGTAAATATAATTTAACGTAGTAGTTTAATTAAATTTTTTAGTTGTCAAATAAAAATCATCCGCTGCAACTCGCACCACACCCTTACCCAACACCTACAAAGGGTAACAAGTTGTAAGTCACTGCATATGTTTCTATAAATTGATATTCCCTCTCGCTCCAATGATTAGTGTTAGAGTGGGACGGCAAGTAATTTAAGGCGACGCACGTCACATGTTGTTAATGATCGCTTAATTTGAAGTTACGTTAAGGGGAAGATAGCTACACATTTATATGTGACGTTCCCTTATTAATTTAGTGATATTTCTTAAATCGAACCCACGACCATCGGATAGTAAAGCGGTTTGCTAAACCACTAGACCACCGAGGCTGTCAAATATATTTATATATCATTACATAATATAGTCGCTGTCTGTCCGTCCCTATGTATGCTTAAATCTTTAGAACTACGCAACGGATTTTGAAGCGGTTTTTTTAATAGATAGAGTGATTCAAGAGGAAGGTTTATATATATAATACATGTACACCCGTGCGAAGCCGGGGTGAATACCTAACACTGCACAACTCACAGTTTGTACTCAATATTCCAGAAAAAAATTCAAATGTGTTATAAAATATTTTCTTTGTAAAAAAGCTTATTATAAAATTGAAGAATTTATAAATGACTAGCTGTCCCGGCAAACGTTGTTTTGCCTTAAAATAAAAAAAAAATAGGGGTGGACTACCCCTAACATTTAGGGGGATGAAAAATAGATGTTGGCCGATTCTCAGACCTACTCAATACGCTCACAAAATTTCATGAGAATCGATCAAGCCGTTTCGGAGGAGGAGGATGGGAACGAAAAAAAACACGAGAATTTTATATATAAGATAATAATGTTTTTGTAGAAAATATCTAACTTGAAATTCATAGCGCTGACAATGTTATCTGATTGAACAGAGATTAAATGCGGTTTCTATGTTGATTGTCGCATGCCTAATCCTTGTTGTTAATTAAATATAAGTAAATCAATATTTATTTAAAAGAGCAACACACAAGTTTCTTGCTCATTCTTCTTGTGATGAGTCTGCATTCCGAATGAGCGGTAGAATCAAAAACTTGACTATTCAAAAGTGCTTATATTAAGTTTATTTGAATAAAGATTATTTCTATTTCTATTTCTTCTTGACACTGATCAGATGAACGCGCTTACCCTTAACTAATCCCATACGTTTGTATTAACTGTAATTGTTTGTTTATTTGTCAAGTTTTAACTCGAAAACTTTCCGGTCACACCCAGTTGTAAATTCAATGGTATATTGATTTTGGAATTTACACAATCTTATTATAAAGTGTTTATAAATTTTCAATAATTGAACACACAGTCGGACGTGAGTATGGATGTTTGTTACTATCATCATCATCATCATCATCATCGCAGCCCGGAAGACGTCCACTGCTGGACATAGGCCTCCCCCAAAAAAGCCTGGACTTACCCGGAGATTCTTCGCACCCCCTGCCCCGCCGTTTCCATGACCTCTACCATGGTAAAGACTAGCGGGGCCGCCGGGGACTGGGGGCCGGGGCCTTGGGTGTAAATCCATTTGGGAGGATATTGCCATAATCGCCACGCTTGGCATGCGGGTTGGGGATCGCAGTATGATGGTAGTTACTCAGTAGAACACTGCCACTGGTCGATGTATTCCTTAGTCGCCTTTTACGACACCCACGGGAAGAGAGGGGGTGGTGCTATTCTTACAGCGACACCACACGCACTTTAGCTTATCCATTATGGTTTCTCAATTGCTGACAACACATCTGGCGTAATCAGCTGGCCAGGTTTAAAAAAGCTGAAGTGAACAACACCGGAACTAGTCCACTAAACGCTCGCAAGTAACTTTTTTTGGGTCAATTTTCGCTTGGGGCAGGATTTGGTTGGTTTGCCAGGGTTCAGTCATTGCGATGAACGTTCCAATTATCATACAAGATCCAAATCATCATAGGTAATGATTCGATTTAAAATCCGTTTATTATTATGCCGGTTGACTAATGTAACGCACCAGTTTACGCGCGTTTGTCGATCGAAACGAGAATTGTCTACTCAATTCATGACCTTTTAAGCTTTTTCACCCTACCAATTTGCTACAAGTGGATAAATACAGTTTTGTCACTAACACCGCAACCTGCAACTAACTTTGGGGGGATATTGCCATAATCACCACGCTTGGTATGCGGGTTGGTGATCACAGTATGATGGTAGTTACTCAGTAGGACGCTGCTGCCTGTCCACTGGTCGATGTATCCCTTAGTCGCCTTTTACGACACCCACGGGAAGAGAGGGGGTGGGGTGGTTTGTTACTATATCACGCAAAAACTACGAAACGGATTTTGATGAAACTTTACAGTAATATAGTTTATGCATTAACACATATTTTATATTGAAATTTAACGCAGGTGAAATCACGGGCGCAGTTACCATTACATAGTATAAAACAAAGTCGCTGTCGCTGTCTGTCCGTCCCTATGTATGCTTAAATCTTTAAAACTACTCAATGGAATTTGAAGCGGCTTTTTTAATAAATAGAGTGATTCAAGAGGAAGGTTTATATAGGGGAGGGTGGGGCAAGACGGGGTAGTTAAGGTTTGACACTGAATAAAACTCACATTTAAATAGGGACAACCATAGTAGCTTATTATTTTTCTCACAATCAATGGTTAAACGAAAAGGTTACTTTGCCCCATCTTACCCCATACCTGGGGTAAGACAGGGTACCCTATAAGGCACGACGGTGTACGTAAAATAACAATAGCTGCTACAGTAGATACAGTTAGAAACTAAAACAAATGGTTTTAAAATATAACAAAACAGTCTCAAGTTTAATACGATTATAAGTAATGGACTAAACTACTACGGGGATGAACTGCAAGGATAGCTCTGTTGTGATCCAGCCTGCCTCACTGCAAACACCCCACGTACCTTGGGGAGCATTTATTATCAGTTCTGGCTTCATCGTTTTATGAGAATAGCATCATTGGTAGCATGTAGTACCCAAATGCACTGAAACTAAACACTACAGTGATAGTAGCTCCCCTTTTAGCTGAAGATAAAGATCCAACTTGCTTATTCCCTGTTCTGGCGATAATTTTATATTTACATTTAGGAACGAAAGAAAACGAACGAAAAAAAATAGTAGTAACAGCAACCACTCATTAATTTAATATTTTTTTCATGTAGTTAACAACAATTGAAAATAATAAGTAAACTGGTCAAAACTTTTTCGCTCAAACATCTAAATGCAACGTCTCACTGCGGTGGTTCTCAAGCGAGGGGGTCAAGTAATAAATAGCTTATTACTGGTATTATTGTTTTGACTTAGGTTCATTTGGTTTTCTCTGTACCCCTTACAGAGGTACCCCCATCTTACCTCGCTACCCCGTCTTGCCCCACCCTCCCCTATATATATATATATATATATAATACATGTTACAGAATAACATACAGGCTAAAAATTTCATTCGAT